GTTGGGAAAGTGAACAGATCAGCTGTAATTGAAAATAAAAGATTAAATGGCAAAAAAAGAAAAAAAGGAAGAAAGAAAGAGAGTGGAATCGGGAAAGGCTTTAGAGATGATACTTGAATGAAACTTCAGTTTTAAAAAAGTGGCATTCCGCAAGTGAACGAAGGAGTGGCCATCATTCCAGGCAGAAGAATAATTTTGAATCAGTGTTTCTTTTGGGGACCTGAAGGTATGCCTGGAGGTGTACCTCTGTCTACAGCTAACCCATCTTCTGTTGTGAACAGAATTGCCTTCTGTTTAGCATCCTTGTACTAAGCTTAAAATTTCCTGTTTTTAATCCTGTATTATAAAAGCTTATCCTCTGCCTCCTGTACTGTCTTTCTGAGAGCCTCAAATTTCTTTTATCTCTGCTTACCAGGAGTCCCAACCTTCCTTCCATCCCCAGGAAAGTTTCTTCAAAGCAGCGTTAATAAAACTATATCTTGATTTTTCCTCCAGGCCTTGTGTATTAGTAGACTACCAATACATCAAAGCCGGGGACTTTGTAAAATATGAATTGTAGGTTTATACACACATCAGTAAGGAACTGTTATAAAAAGGTATTCAACTTAGTAGAAATCACGAAAGAATGTTGGATCATAGAACCTTCTAGATCCCTTTTGATTCTTAAAAGTCTGTGGGCTCCGAGGAAAGTTCCACATTTGCCAGCTTGTCCTCAGACAGTAATGAAAGTGATCTTCCTCTTCTGTAACTGTAGATCATTGTATCAGCGTTAAAGTATAAACAGAGGAGCAGTTTGAATGACTTGCCATTCTCTGGGAAGAAAACTATATTTTGTTTTAAAGCATTGTCTGAAGTAATAAATGTGTAAGTTCTTCCAAGATATTTAAGTTTTTGAAGTCAGTATGCTGATAACATTATATGCCATTTCAGTCAAAGGGACATTTTTTTATATTCTTTCCTCGCCTTCTTCAAAACAGCAACAAAAATAAGTTTTGTTATTCCTTGTTATTTTTCTCAGAGGGAATAGATATTAAGATCCATAGGCCTAATACCAACATATTCTGGTTTCTTGCTGTCCAGTCCTCTGTAAGACATCATAGGTTTTTGAATTGGACCTTGAAAATAAACATCTTCATTTTGCCTTTTATATTTAGAAATTTCAGCCTCATTTTGTTTGGGCATGGTTATAGGGATACTTTAACCAGAGATGGTTTTTTCTTTCAGTTTAAATAATCTAATTTAAAATTTGGAGATCTTTCTGTTGTAAAGGGTTCACAGTGTGCTAAATTCTCTCTAAGGGGAATTTTGTTTTTATGTTGTAGGTTATAATCTAAAGAGAGCTTCTAAATAGCTTTAGAAGGGAGTGTTTCTGATGTTGCTAGTGCCTCTGCTGTTACTAACATTCAAGCACTAATTATGTGCCATATACTGTGCATTGTGGATTATTTTGAGGATTATCTCAGTCCTCTCAAAGACTTTATAAAGAAACTGATGAGTAATCCAAATAATTTATCCAAGGTTAATGATGGCAGAGCTGACATACTTACTTTCAAAGCCAGGTCTGTATGACTTCAGAAACCTATGTTTCTCCTATGGTCTTCTTTCTGTTTCTCATTTTGTTGAGTTTGACTTTTATAAAAGACGTAAAATGTGTCTTTGAGATTGTGCTTTAGAGACTACCAAATCGAAGGCTAGCCCAAGCTTAGAGGAAGGGTAGAAGAGAAATCCAAGATAACTTGCTTTACTGTGATGAGCAAGTTGGACTGAAGGTGCTTTTCAAACTGAACTTAATGAGTGCTTTTAAAATAAGTGAGGCTTAACTTATTACGACGAGTTTTTATTTATATGCATCGCAACAGCATGTTTGGACCGTGAGTTCCTTCCCGTCAGTGGGCTCTGCGGCCCCTCATGTGAAATGCTCATCAAACAGGATAGTCTCCGCCACGCAGGATTGTCCCTAGAGGAGGAGTGGGAGGGAGACGGGTTTCTGGGACTATCGCAGGCATTCCTTTCCCGTTCCTTTCTTGTTCAGCTGCATTTAGGGACCACCCTGGCTCTCACTGTCTTCTCTCTAGAACAAGTAGGCCTCAGCCCTTCCCTGTCGCTGTCCCTCCTCAGGCTCACTGTAGCCTTCCTGTTTCCAGATGGGGTGCGGAGAAAAGGCAGAGTTGTGCAGCTGGGAGACTAGAACTAGCATTTCTAATAACATGTTTTTGGCATTTGATGATAATGAGAACAGAGTGTTTTCATATGAGCGCTTCTGATTTAATCATGACAAATATAAACACAGGCAACTGTCTGTTCTAGAGTTGTTTTGAATTTAGAGACTAACGAAAGCTTAAATCAAGCAGCTTTCGATGGTCAGTGTAAGTATAGGTTTTAAGAAGAAACTTTCTCTTCCTGGGGAAAGTGTTTGTTTTTGTTTTAGTTCCCCTTGCTCAAATGAGGGAACTACTTTGCTTCCTCCACGCCGCCATCCCCCCACCCCCACCCCAAAAAAACCCTTCAAAAAGCTTTGAAGCTTGGATTTTTAAGTGAAGCAGGACTATATATGATAAAGGGATAGAAGGATAGAGAAAGCTAGATAACTTTGGAGAAAAACTCTAAAGTGTTTTAAAAAAGTCTTTTAAAGTGTTTTAAAGTCTTTTAAAAAAATGAGAAATACAGGCAATGAAAGTTAAATTTACAAGGATAATTTAATAGTCTGTATAAGCAGGCTTTATTCTTATATTAGTACGAAAAAGGAGAAAATGACCGAATCTTTCCTAAAAGGATGGAAATATTATTAGCTAGTCTACCATTAATGCTCTGTAATGTAACACAGAGTAAAGGACTAATCTGAAAGCCTAAATACCCGGGATGCTCATGCCCATTGTTGACACATAGCCTTTCATTAATTATTTGCCTGCCTTTTGTTAAATGTTAAAGTGAATGTTCACAATAATTCAAAATTATTGCTTTATCCAGCTATCTGCTAAAACTAATAATAATGGATGAATGATTAAAATCCAGTGTTTGGGGCAGGGGGAATGCAGAAAAAGTTGGCAACTAATTTAGGACCTACTGGTTTAGAATTTGAATTCTATTTTAGAGAAAACCTGATCTGTAATAAAACAAAAACAACATTGCACCTGGGGACAGGACATCTGAGTTTTAGTTTGGCAATACTTTTACCTAATCCAGTGATTTTGGAGCCAAGTGTGTAAACTTTCTGGAATATAACTTCCTTTTAGGCAAAATGAGAGATTGAGGTGATGGTGCCTTGTAACTATAGTATTGTGTGCATTAAATTGATAATACAAATTTAATCGTTTGTCTTGGAAGGGAACACCGGGACATGTTTAACCTCCTTAGAGAACAGTGTTTTTAAAAAAATTTTACTAGCATCTCTTTGCATATGAGTAAGAATATTCTGATTGGCAGGCCTTCGTTCTCACCAGCTCATTAAACTAGGTCTCTAGTAAGTACGCTTCTGTATGCTCACCGTCACATCCCCAACACAGAACAAGGCCTGACACAGAACAAGTATTAGGTACTTAATAATTAGAATACAGGAATATATGTGTGGCTAATGAATATATAAATGATCTGTAATTCAAGCCTGCCTTCCTGTAAGTTATTTTGAGAATTTCAAAGTTTACTTCACTAGAAAAAGTTGGTACAGCTAAATATTGGTTGGGGAAAGAAGACTAATTCTGGAAACTGGCTAGAGAAGGACATAGGTGTATTGAAGAGGCACTTACACTCCTTGCACTATTTTTTGTTGCAATGAGTCAATGAAGGTCCTGTGTTACCAGTGGTGAAAACATTTAAGTTGGAGGTTGGTTGTTTTTATAGTCAAGGGCAACCCAGGGATGTTGAAGCAGGACTTAACTGTTAGAGCTCAGGCAGGGAAATGAGAGGTGTTTGTGTGGGGGGGGTGTAAAGTTTTCTATAGATAGAAGGAAAAAAATATACCTACATAGTATATATATAAACTAAGCTGAAATTCATTTACTATAATTGTTCACTGAAAAACTTATTTAAATAATTTTGTTTGTAAGAGAAATCTTTATACGTAAAAATTCAGAGATATTAAAAAGAAAGATAACTTGAACATATAGATGTTCAATAGATATTTTATTTCTTCTTACCAATATAGTACTATGTTAGGGATAAGTAGACCTAATATCAACATATGTCCAATTTTTAGAAGATATATCTCTTCTTGAATTCACAATAGTAAAATGTAAAAAGTATGACTATGAAAACTAACCTGAAACCACACCTTGCAACTGAACTAAATTTCTATCTAAAAATATCTCATCGTTTTTAATTTAAAGAACCAGCAGTAAGACACCACCTTAAAATATATAAATAAATCTAAATTACTAGTTTATTTTTCCAAAGTCTTACTGTCCCAAAGCCCATTTTCCAGTGAAATTTTGGAGGGCCTTTTAGCTGACGAATCTTTCCTAAAGTGGTTCTACCAGTCCAAATTCCTTTAGCCGAGTCCCTGGAACTGATGCAGGAGGAAAGAGTGAAGTGTTAAGTTTTTTCACATATACTTTCCAAGATAGGAAGAACTATGTGGATATATGTGTGTTTGAAATTGAAATACATAAAATACATGTTCTTGTGTTGTTTTTTAAAAGCTGTTGTGTCACTAATGACTTCTCCAAGTAGGAAAACTTCGTAACAACACAACAGAGCACTTGTTAGCAAAATTCCTGACATCTTAACTTTGCTGTTGCTCAGCACCACCCTTACAAAATTTAAAATATGAGAGGTTTTGGAAAATCCTGAATGGAGGGTGATCTGGAGTGAGTGATCTGCCTCCCGCTGTTTCTGTCCCTACCTGCTGTGGATGAGCCTGGACTTTCCTTGCTGTCAGGGCCCCCTGGTGCTGCTGCACAGCACAGGGCTGGTTCAGTGCTCCGCACACCAAGCACCGGGCTAGCATTCCTATTGAAGGAAGCCCTGCAGTTGGAATGTGGCCAGTGCAACTGAGAAAGGGAATTTTTACCTTTATTTAATTGTCATTAATTGAATTTATGTTCACATAGCCGCATGTCACTAATGGGCTCCCATGTAGGACGATTCAGATAAAGAACATTTCCATCATCACAGAAAGTTCTCCTAGCGCCGCTCTAGGGTTCTCTTCCTAAGACACCCATTTCCCCAGCATTTTAGTTTATAAAATGGAGGTGGAGTGCGGATGCCTTTTGGTTGCCAAGAATATTAATATGTGAACAAAAACACAGAGCAGAGCTTTGTTTCCTAAAGGGAAAAAACACATCTTAAAAATATCATAGAAAACAGATGATGGTATTTCTTCGATTAATAACTGTTATAAGATGTCTAGTAACTGCTAGCACAGTAGTTTGTGGATTGTGGGGATTTATGCTAATGTGTCTTTGGAGGATCTATAATCCATTATCACTTTTCCCATTTAGGTACTTAAAGCTTTCACCGAAACACCCAGAATCAAATACTGCTGGAATGGACATCTTTGCCAAGTTCTCTGCATACATTAAGAATTCAAGGCCAGAGGCTAATGAAGGTAAACAACCATACAAACACAACAGCAACCCTGTTAGGACAGTGATATAAACGAATACTTCGGAGTCCAGACATTCCCATAAGTGTTAAAAACTGACTTTTAGAGTTGATCGGAGATTTGAGGATAAACCAGGATAAGTCCTTAAATTGCTGTTTTTCTGTGTTTCTAGCTCATGGGACAGTGCCGAGCAGTACAGTAGGTGTGTGATAAAATGTTTATTGAGAGAATTTGGCTTCATACTCTTCTGAGAAGTTACTGTGAAAGGAGCTATGCAAAGAATTACCGGTGTGTCAAAAACAAGGGATTGCTATAGCTTAATTTAAACCATTACTAAATCTTTTGTTTATTGTTAGGTGCCAGCTAGAATGTTCTAAAATCGACCTTGGTGGATTTTTGTGCTAATTACCCTTAAAGAGTAATTTTTGGATTTGCTCTAAGAGAGCCTTTAGACTCTCCAGCCTTCCAAATTTCTGTGCATCCTAAAAGTAGGATTTTATTTCTTTTTTTAAAAATACATCTTTATTGATTTCAGAGAGAGGACGGAAGAGGGAGAGAGAGATAGAAACATCAATGATGAGGGAATCATTGATCGGCCTCCTCCTACATGCCTCCGACTAGGGATCAAGCCCACAACCCGGGTATGTGCCCTGACCGGGAATTGAACTGAGATCTCCTGGATCCTAGGTCAATGCTCAACCACTGAGTCACACCCAGCCGGGCCAGGATTTTAATTTCAAATCATATTTTCATGGTGAGAATTGTTTAGGTAATATGGATAATATGGATGTGATTTTCTTCTTTTATTTATTAAAGGACACTCATTCATATTTGGTATATTGGAGGGAAACCTCTTTGAAAGAGGTCCCCCCCCTTTAAAATTTTTTTAAATTGATTTTTAGAGAGAGAAGAAAGGGGAGAGAGAGAGAAACATCAATGTGAGAGTGCAATATCCATCAGCTGCCTCCTGCACACCCCCTATGGGGATAAAGCCCAAAACCCAGGCATCAAGACCACACTCTGGACATGTGCCCTGACCGGGAATTGAGACGGCAACCCTTCAGTGCACGGGACAACACCCAACCAACTGAAAGAGGCCCCATTTAATGAACTTGTCTTGGCCACACCATTCAGTAATTTCCCTTTTTTTTCCTTTGAGACATCAGGCATTGTTCTCTGTAGAAAACTATAGGGGAGCATTAGTATTTAACAGTAGCAACAATAACCAAAAAGCCAGCTCCTAAAAGATATTTTAACCTATCATCATTGTAATTTTTGTTTTTATGTATTGATCTGTGAGAGAGAGAGGGAGAGATGGATTTGTTGTTCCACTTATTTATGCATTCATTGGTTGATTCTTATACGGGCCCTGACCAGGGATGGAACCTGCAACTTTGGTGTATCAGGGTGATACCTTACCAGCTGAGCTACCTGGCCAGGGCCTCCACCATCGTTTTAGACAGTTGAGTGTTTTTCACATATATTTTCCTATTTGAGGAAGAAATAATATATGAGTATGTGATATTTAAATATGTAAATATACATTTGTGTGCTTTTTTAAAAAAAAGCTATCTTCATCAGGAATGACTTCTCTAAGCAGGAAAACTTTGTAACAGCACAACAGAGCACTTGTTAGCAAAATTCCTGACATCTTATTTTGCTGTTGCCCAGTGCCACCCTTACAAAATTTAACATGTGGGAGAAACTCTTGAGAGTAGGGTGATCTGAAGTGAGTGATCTGCCTCTTGGTGTTTTCTGTCCCTAACCTACTGTGCATGAGCAAGGTGCTTGACCAGCCTAGAGGGGCTCTTTTGGGTAGAAGTTTATGGCAGCAAATGGCCAAGAATACGAAAGGGGGTGGGAGGAATCAGTGCTGGGTAAGCAAGAATAAATGTTTTTTTAAAAATTGAAACAGTCGCTGATTTCCTTATATCATTTAGGCAGATTTCCAAGCTATTCAGGCTTCAGGCTATTATTCTTTTGATTATTACATTTTAAAATTGCAGCATTTTATAATTCAGTATTGAATTTCAATGGTTCCTGGAATAATGTTTACCGCATGAAATGTTCTACAGAGAAGGGAGAAAAGGGAAGGACATTAGTGCTCAGGCCTGGCTTACACCTATAAATGTGTTCTAGAAGCTGCTTTGGTTTGGGAGCAAGTCTTCTCCTTAGTAACTGGCTTTTTTTTCTGACTAATGTTTCTGTTTAAGCATTTTATGCACTAAGTAAACGGTTACACTGGAGCCCCTTCTACCCACAGTTTCTATTCTGTTCTACCTTTTCTTTCCATAAAACTGTCTTCATACCAGATGCTCTTGTTGCATAGTCCTTTGAATTCTCTTAAAGGCATAATGTTTTTATTACTCTTTGTGACTTTCGGAAGCTGGAGGGTGGTTGAATTTCTTTTGACACTTGGTGAGGAGGAGAGGAAAATAAAATGTGTTTGCTTTAAAAAAAAATTGCTTTGGTAGATGATGTTGGGAGGAGATAATAGCGGAGAAAGTGAGTCATTGAAGTATAACTTGTATTCTGTTTTTTCCTATCAATTTGTTAGTGTCTTAAGTAGCCACCCATGCTTACTTACACTGCCCTTAGAATTCTGTAACCAGTAAGGACAAACAACATAGTGGATTACACAGTGCATAACTTAGAAGGCCTTATATTAAATTACCTATTGGTAAATAAGAATTCCAGTTGCCAAGCAACTTCTCCCCACAAGGGCCTCTCACTGCTGTGAGACTTTAGAAAACAGTGTTCCAAAATCATTTTGGACATTAATGGGCCTCCCTTATGTTTATTTGTTGCAAGTCTCTTATTTGTCTGTTTCATGCAATTAAATGCCTTAAATCAGCTTAAGAAACACATCTCATTTCTCCAAACAACGAATAACTTACATAGAGATGGGTTTATTTTATATGGTAAATCAGAATAGACAGGTCTTTTAGTTTTACCAGCCTATGAAATATTTTACAGTGTCCAATGTTTTACAAAGGTTTGGACAATTTTAAGACCTCATTCTAAGAGATTAAAGGCCTAGATGCTACAGTATTGGGCTAGTGAAAGTGAAACTGAAGTGCTAATGTTTAGATTGAGGTACATAGTAAACATAAGATTTAAAAAATAAAATAAAGGGAAGCACTGACGATAGATTGATTGATAAAATATATAATTCTTTTGGTAACATGTCCAAGTTGGTTTTGAGTAAGAGTTTGTGTGATCTTTTGAAGCATTAAAAAAGATTTATGAGTAATTCCTTTTATGGGGATGGGTTAGGTACGAGTTGTCCCAGATCTCCTGTCTTTTTGTCAGTTCTGTGATTTCATTAATTTATATAATTTACTAAGCTCCCAAATATAACTAATAGATATTTATTAACCTGTTTGGTATTTATTATATTCAGAGATTCATGAATTTAGCAGTGATGAAAATCTGCCATTATATGCTCTGAGGCATAGTCCTTAACGTCCAAATTCCTGTTTTTAAATGGAGGAGTGGAATTTATAAGTTCTAACTAGTTCCTTTTTATTCAAGATTCATTCTCCTTCCCTTCCTCTTTTCCTCTCTGGAATAGTGTTGGGAATCAGGATGGTTTTTCATCATTGTAGCTATGAAACCACATTATATATTTAATCATCTTTAAATACTCACTACCTCTCCCTGCTTTCCTCTCATGTGTTTCCTAGCCTTTAAAAATTGTTTATGTAAGATTGCCCTTTATTAAAACTAGCAGTAGCTTTAAAATATAGTTTTATCCATGTAAGTGCTCATAATTTTTGTTTTCTTCTTTGTAAATTGTATTGTTTTTCTACAACAGATATGGGCTTGTTACATTGAATGGCTTCTGCCTTGTATTTACTCATTTGAATTATACAGGTAACAGAATAATGCCTGCTTATTACACAAGTTAAAATAGCATAAATACAAACTTAATAAAATGTCGGTGCTCTTTAATTACATTATGTAACCTCTTCCCCAACACTATGCATCCTTTTTTCTATGTAATTTTGCATTGTACGTAAATGTGTATTTATATATTTACATTATGCAGTTGCCTTTTTCACACATTATGTGGTGGAAATTCTTCCAAGTATAGATCTACTTCATTTTTTAGAAATGCTGCTTAATACTTAATAACACAGATTTTTATTTAACCATTTCCCTGTTGGTAGGCACTTAGATTGTCACCAGTTTTTTTTATTATGAACAATGCTGCCAGTGAATGCCTTTGTACTAGATTCCAAATAGGTTAAAAAGGTTTTTCTCTCCAAAAGTCTGTACCAGTTAATATTCCCACTAATGTGAATGTATTCATTTCTCCACACTCCTGATCCTGGTGTGTGCATGTGTGTTAATCCTTTAAATTTAACTGGGTTCTCAGAGGCAAAAAAGGGTGTTTTGATTTTCATAATTAACTTAAAACTGACCGTATGGCTTCTGTTGTACTTACTCATTTTTTTTGAGAACTTGAAAGACCTTGTTAGGATCGAGTATTACTACAGCCGTGTTGGAGAGGAACAGTGCTACTTAAGTACAAAAGGCGAGGAGCTACTTTCTGGTGGCCTGCTACTGCCTTCTAGTGGTTAATCTTCACATTTTCTCTGTCTCAACCAACCTCAAATTCCTTTCTGATGGTTTATCTTCAAAACTTGTTATGTTTATTGAATCTTGCTCGTTGGTACCTTTTGGTACTTATATTTTTCTTTGTTTTGTTGGCCATTCTTATATTGACACATAAAAATTGTATCAAACTAACTCAGCTTTCTTTGTGTTCACTAATATACCCTTTATTCTGACATTTCTAACTGTGAAAAATCACCTAACACTCTAGTCAGGTACAGCAATTCAACTTCACTGCAGGTGCTGTGCTAAGTCCAAAATGATAGAAAGAACAGTAATTGCAATGTTTTGTCAGCTTAACTTTAGTTCATGTCTTACATCTGGGATTATAAGCATCGTATGGTATAAACCTTGTGAGTTTAGGATATTTTATTTTTCTATTGGATACATTTGAGAATTAATTCAGAAAAAGGATTGATTTAGAACAGGTTGAAGATTACTACGAACTGGCTCAAACTTGACATACCACTCACGTCCATTTCAGGCATTATTTCAGGGTTGGAATTCAGGCAATACTATCTTCCTTACCGGCCAGGCTTCTGTTCATTGTAATCATACCAAAAACCGCATCCTGATACTAATATGTATTTATTCTGTATTTACAGCTTTTGATAAGAAGCATACTGAATCCTTACGTTTGCTGGTCTATAGTCCTGAGATTCTACTGTTCTTTTCTTTTTTTTCCGCTTTAAAGCACAACCATGAAGTTTCCTGTCATGCCTTGGTCTCCTTACTAACCTAACTAGTTCTCTCATTCCATTTTCTTGTTAATTTACAAACTTCACATTTCAGTTGACTATATGCGTTATCAACAGCTTGTACATAATTAAGGAAAGGTTGCATTTACTGCCCTTGGATTTTTTCTCTTTTGTTTTTTAATGGCTTGATTCCCTGTCACTCCTTTAGTTTCAGTTGACCTTCCCTAACTTCTCAACTTTGTTTTACTGGGTTCCAATGCTTAACTGTTTCCTCTAAGAAACAAACTAGCTTGATCCTGGCTGTGGCTAGAGTGACCTTTTATTAATAAAATAGGTAGCTCTTTCATCCTGATATTGTCTGTCACTTGACATTACACATTCCAGTTTGTTTGATATTCACCTAAGTAAGAAATATTACCAGTTCTTTGCATTTTTAAAGTGGCTGTTATGTTCTAGAGCAATATGCAGTACCGACCTCACTCTCAGCTTTCCATAAAGATACAAGAGTCAAGTACAAATATTGTCACTCATCTGACTTTAAAAGTGTCTGTTCTACATTTTTACCTAATTTCCTTTTGAACCATACCCGTACATTTAAGAAATCAACACTTCTCTACTTAATTATTGTCCTTTCTCAGCCTGGACCAGATGTTGACCAAGTGTCCGATGTGTGCGTGGGGAAAGTGCTGTGGCTTAGGGGAGGTGCAGAAGAAGTGCAAGATGCGGGCTTTACCCCACAGCGCAGCACGGTGGGGGAAGTAAGCGCTAGGCCTGAATTTAGTAACAAGAATTAGAAGGAATAAGTTCTTGAGTTAGTAGACTATTAGTTTAGTGTAAACCAGCCCTGAGTTTTAAAATGTAAAGCTTTTATTTTTTATTTTTTTAAATATATTTTTTTAAATATATCTTTATTGATTTCAGAGAGAGGAAAGGAGAGGGAGAGAGAGAGATAGAAACATCAATGATGAGAGAGTCATTGATCAGCTGCAGCCCGCAACCCGGGCATGTGCCCTGACTGGGAATCAAACCCCGATCGCCTGGATCCTAGGCGATGCTCAACCGCTGAGCCACGCCCGGCTGGGCAAAAAATGTAAAGCTTTTAAAATGTAATAGTAATCGCCCGGCCGGGCGTGGCTCAGCAGTTGAGCATCGCCTAGGATCCAGGCGATCGGGGTTCGATTCCCGGTCAGGGCACATGCCCGGGTTTCGGGCTCGATCCCCAGTTGGAGGCGTGCGGGACGCAGCCGATCAATGACTCTCTCATCATTGATGTTTCTATCGGTCTCCCTCTCCTTTTCTCTTTCTGGAATCAATAAAAATATATTTAAAAAATAATAAATAAGTTGCATAGAAAAGTTACGTTTATACTGTAGTCTGTTAAGTGTGCAAGTCTTTTGGGAGTTGTGACCTTTTTGCTGGCGGAGGGTCTTGGCTCCGTGTTGATGGCTGCCACCCGTCAGGGTGGTGGTTGCTGAAGGGCGGGGTGGCGGTGGCGATTTCCTAAAAGAAGACAACAGTGAGTCTGCTGTGTTGGTTGAGTCTTCCTTTCTTGAATGATTTCTCTGCAGCACCTGATGCTCTTTGATAGCATTTTACCCACAGTAGAACTTCTTTCAAAATTAGTCAGTGCTCTCAAGCCCTGCCGCTGCTGCTATCAACTAAGTTCACACACTATTCTAAATCCTTTATTGTCACTTGGACAATCTCCACAGCATCTTCACCTGAAGTAGATCTCATCTGAAGAAACCACTTTCTTTGCTCATCTGTTAGAAGCTACCCCTCATCCGTTTAAGTTTTATCATGAGATTGCAGTGATTCAGTTACATCTTTAGGCTCTACTTCTCATTTTAGTTCTCGCTGTTTCCACCACATCTGCAGTTACTTCCTCCACTGAAGTCCTGAACCCTCAGTGTCATGCATGAGGGCTGGAATCAGCCTCCTCCCAGCTCCTGTTAGTGGTGATATTTTTGACCTTGTCCCATGACTCATGACTGTTCTTAACGGCATCCAGAATGGTGAATGAATCCTTTCCAGAAGTTTTCAATTTCCTTTGCCCAGATCCATAAGAGGAGGCATGATTTATGGCAGCTATAACTTTACGAAATGGATTTCTTAAATAAGACTTGAAAGTCAGAATTATGCCTTGATCCATGGGCAGCAGAACTTCAGTTTTCCTTTGCATGCATTCTCAGCTTGGCTAATTGTTTGGCACATGAGGCCTAGCTTTTGGCCTACCTTGGCTTTCAACATACCTTCCTCGATAAGCTTAATCATTTCTAGATTTTGATTTAAAGTGAGAAATAATGTGATTGTTCCTCTCACTTGAACACTTAGAGGCCATTGTAGGGTTATTAATTGGCCTATTTCAGTATTAACAAGGGAGGGAGGTTTGTTTTTTTTTCCAGTTTAAACATCAACTATACTAGGCCCTAATGTGTTCATCATATGTGGGCTATTTAGTTATTAAGATTTTACAGATACCACTATCTGAAACTGTCATGCTTGTTTTTATATTTATTTGAACAAATTTGTTTGTCTCACCCCCTGCCCCATGTAAGTAAGGCCAGGAGAACAGGAACCTTGTCTATTTTGTTCCGTGTGCCTAGTGTCAGAGTGAGCATTTGACAGTTAGTGACTGAAAGAGTCATGTTTCTACTTGGGGGCCCGGGGGCTTTCCTTCTTACAGTGTTCCCATCTTTCTTTCAGCATTGGAGAGGGGCCTCTTGAAAACACTGCAGAAACTGGATGAGTATCTGAATTCTCCTCTCCCTGATGAAATTGATGAGAACAGTATGGAGGACATTAAGTTTTCCACACGTAAATTTCTGGATGGCAATGAAATGACATTGGCTGATTGCAACCTGCTGCCCAAACTGCACATTGTCAAGGTAGGCCTGTGGGATGTGGTGTCACATCACTCTTCTGACATGACTGGGAATCTGCCAGTGGATTTTAATGCTGTTTAGGCCATAGGTGAAACAATTAAATGGAAAATTGAGGTGTATGAAAAAGAGGAATATTCTCTTTTTCTGTGACTGCATAAAAATTCACAGATGTAACAGGTAACTTTGAATTGGAGTTTGCTATACTAACATATCACCAAATTCTGTTCTGTGATCACCTGGCTTTTTCTATTCAAGGCAAAAATGTGTATTGAGCATTTATTGTGTGAGACACTGCTAAATAGAATAGTAATGAACACTAGTTGTGCAATAAAGATTAAGATCAAGAAAAACAGAGATCTGAGATAGTGTGTGTTTTAAGGTGTATCTCTGGATGGCCAGGGCAGGCGTTTGCAGTCAGCGTCACTCTTCCGAATCTCTGGTGTGGCTTGCAGTCCTTATCGTCATCTAAAATTCTGGTTAGAATGAAGGTCACTTCTAACTTCATTCTCCCCCTCTCTGACGACATTGATGAGAATGGCATAGAGGACGTTAAGCTTTCTTCCAAACGGAAGGCATTCTCAGAGGTTCACAAAATCAGTTTTCCTTAAAATCAGATATATTTTTGGTTAACATGAAAAGGAAATGTTAACTTTTGATCTCTTTGTATTTCAGGTGGTGGCCAAAAAATACCGCAACTTTGACATTCCAAAAAGAATGACTGGCATCTGGAGATACTTAACCAATGCTTACAGTAGGGACGAGTTCACCAACACCTGTCCCAGTGACAAGGAGGTTGAAATTGCGTATAGTGATGTAGCCAAAAGACTTACCAAGTAAAACAGCACTTATGAGAGAGATGTCTTCACATCTTTTCCTGATTAAGAATATGCTTTTCCTAACAGACTGCTCTTCCTCCTATAAAATAGAAATTTTATTTTGCATGAACATGGCAGTTACTCAAGATTAGGATAAAGGATAGATAAGGTATAGTAGCTATCTTTAAGCATACACTCCTAAGCAGTATTATTTTAAAATTATTTTACCCTGCCTACCTCCCCTACCCCATATCCTCCTCTCTTCTAATTTGGAGACACTTCATCCCAAACATTTTACTTTAGAGGTAGTTTGCTCTCTCTCTAGAGCCCTCACCATTGTGTCCGTTCACTGTGTGTAGATGGCAGGACTTTTGAGGTGCAATGTTTAACTGTCAAAAAGTAACCATGACCTCATCAGTCAGCCCCAAACTGGTGCATAATGCATGGTACAAGGAATATTTATGTATTTTTGGAATTTTATAATATTTAGTAAGAGTATATGAGAGGATTGCTACTGTATCAAAATACTCTGTTTCAGTTTAGTCTATCCTGGTGATGTACTCAAGGGTGTCACCGCGAGAGGAGAGCCTCTGCAGAAAGTCACTACAGATTTTGCTATTCTACTTTGTACACGGATTTTTACTTTTCCTAAAAGCATTTATCCTTTATACCAATGATAACACCTGACACTATGTAGAAGCTGAAAGTTTAAAGGGAGGGATAATATTCTCAATCTTTTTTGAGCGTTTTATCCATATAAGATAAACCAATGGGCACCTTATATTCTGTTTAAATGTGGTGTTTGCTGTATGTATTTTGCCCAGTGCCATTCATTTGGAACATTATTGCTTTTTCCTTGATTTTAAAAAGCTCCTTTTTAGGTAGGCATAGACCTCGCTGTGTATAGATCTTTTGAGCAACACTACATAAACTGATACTGATTTAGCTATAGCAGTACAATGATTAGTAAGGAAAAAATTAACACAGAAATTAACCTAAGGAATGTAGGGTGGGTTTGTCAAAATAGCAAATAGAGTTTTGTTTCTAAAGCATATTTAATGTGGGTAATCTAAAGAATGCATTATCTCTCCTGTATTGAAAATAAGATAAAACACAGATTAGCAGCTTTCCCATTCCACCTCCATTCACTGTTGGACTTTGGGTAAAGGATGGCTTGCTCCTTTTGGACTAAACTATAGTTGTTATGGTGAGTGCGTATTTACTGCAATGTTTCCTAATGTCTGTCATTGTGTTTCCTTCCATTAAATTTTTCTACAGCCACACTGAGGAATAGCACTCTGCATGCTTGTTTGTTTTTAAATTGAAGTCCTAAACCAGGAATTATATGAGCTCTAACAAGGGAGGGTGAACTTGGTGAAAATAAAACAAAAGTTTGCTATGTATTCATTTTTTAAAATTGGACTTCCTAAGTACTCCAAAGATGGGGTTATGACTATAATACATTTTTGGTAATTTTTTATACCTAACTTGTTTAAGAAGTGCTATTTCTCATAGGCTGTTTTTGGAAATTTTAAGTATATTGCTTTAAAATGGCAATGATTTCCTCCCTTAGATATGCTGACATTTAGTAAGCACTGGCTTTATGGAAGCAGCCTGATTTTTACAAGCATTCTGCATTTTTTTTAACCTACCAGTAATTAGTGTACAAAGATAAACAAAGCTCCATATTGTATCCATTTGGCTCAGGGAGATTTTTTTTTTTTTTGCTTTGCCTTCCTTAAAACTCCTTATTGCGGATCAGGAGTTTGAGTACCCACCTTTATGTAATTAAGATTGGGTGCTGATTTATCTGGTTCCAGGAAGAAGTACTATCAGGTTATCTATTGAGACATTCTGTAGCAGTAGCTTCAGTGGGTAAAAATGTCAGATCTGCACCAGTACACAGACAGCCATCACTTTTCACCTACTTTTAAACAGTGGTAACTTGGCATTCAGGTGATGCTGAACCTTGCCTCAGAGCTTAAAGTGTGAAAAAGATCCAAAGAAGGGGTGTCAGTTCTTTCCGGTGAATGGTGGACTAAGTGGTGTGGAGCAGAGGGCTAATGAGGAAAGAGCAACATTCCTTAAAACAGAATGATGAAAAATTCATTCTGAAACTCAATTGTGAAATATTTTGACCTTGGATATTTTCTTTCTACAAAAAAATTTATCCTATGATTCCACCTGCCTGTCCCTCTCTATGTCCAAGGAAGGTAGGTCTGTTATGATTTCAATGAAGGCAGAATGATTTTTTTTCTCTGTAGAAAGACCTCATTTTATCAGGGAAGTTAGTCAAATGAAATTGAAATTATCAAATAGACAAAAGCCAGTAAATAGGATGATCCCAACAAATACTCTTTTACCCCATCTTATATTTGTAGAAAGATCATAGCTTAAATTTGGTAATAAAAATTTTCATGGCATGAAATTCATATAGTGTATGGGTTGATATAACAGAAATGTCTGGTATTATTTCTGCAACTACTGAATCATTTTCCCCTTCATTTAAACTAACAAGATTAGTCTGAATGGAAGCTCTCATGATTTTCCAAGGGAACAGTTTTTGTGTTCCACGTTGGAAAGCTCTCTACAATTTCAGTTGATGACTTCTTTTTTTTTTAAAAAAAAAGTAAATGCAGATTTTTCTATATAGTTCTGTTATCTTTTACTAGGATTGTTGTGATAGAATTCATATAAGATTTTATTTCTTGGTAACTTTGGCTTACATAACTTATCTTTAAGCCCTTGAACAATTTGTATACAATTAAGAGATTTCTGACATTTATTCTTACCCTAAGTTGATCAACTCTAGAATTAGGCAGTTTTACTTCTCTCTAGAGTTGCATGTAGATAGCTTTTATTTCTCTGCATTTAAAATATCCATTTAGAAGACATCTACAAGGTAAAAATAATAAGAAATAAAAATGTATTTTTTCATGAACATTTTGATACACATTTCATCAAGTTTATTGATCAACCAATTTCTACACCGGTTATAACAGTATTTGATTCAAAGCGAGGAAAGCATTCATTAATTGATATATGATATAGGCTTTTTTTTATTCCATTCTTTACAAATTTATCAAGATTGGGGCTTTCAAAATTATATTTTTATCATGGGAAAAAAATTTCAACTACCCAAGTCATAATGTTGAGCAGAATTGGAGTATTTTCTTTAGAATTACTTGAAAAGGTAAATGAAAGCTTATTATAGAATGCTTGTATTTTCTTTTGTCTCTGGATCCAGTATATTGCTGGCAGCTATTGTATTAAAATAAAGTATATTTTCACTATCATTAAAGGTTCTTTTTTCTGTCCCTTCATGAAAATAAATAACAACTTGGGGTAAAAGTGTTTTATTTGAGACTTTTTTTTCCCCCCCACAAGCGGGTGATTTAGCACAATTAATACATTAAAGGAAAAACCATATTTCAATAGGTGCATAAAATAACTTCATAAAAACTTTCATGATACTCATTCTTAGCAAAATAGGACCAGAGGTAAAAAAAAAAAATTTAATCTGAAAGAGATATCTGCCAAGAGCCTACAGCAAATTTGATGTATAAATATGAAACAGAAGCCCTTTTATTAAAGTCAGGAACAAGATAGGATTGCCCTCTATCATAGCTATTTCCAGCTATTTTCCATAGCTGCTTTATTAGAGGCATCCTATTCAGTGTGATAAAATCACTGAAAAGAATTGACCAAATGATTGATTTTTGCAGATGAGTGCACATACAGAAAAATCCAGAACAGCCTACTATTAGAAATAAGAAAATTCAGCCAGATTACTAGATACAAGAATGAGGAACAAGAATCATATAACTACATACTAATGTTTACCATGTTAAAATTAATGGATAAACTAGTAACATTGGTTTCTTCTGGAGGAAAACTGGGTGACTGAGGAAAATGGATGGGAAAGTGTCCATGTATACTTTTTTGAACTTTTAATATTTGTAACAAATATATTACCCTAAAAAATAAGTGTTTTAAAAAGATAAACTCTAAGATACTTAGGGCTGTCTAACAAAGAATGTACAGTTCCTTTATGAAGGAAAGCACAAAATATTAAAGGACCAAATAGGAATCTGTTAAATGGATACATATACCATGTTCATGGATGCGTAACTTAAAAGCATAAGAATTTCAATTCTGTCTCAAGTAATTTATAAATTCAATGTATTTTCCAACAAAATCTAAATAGGGTTTTTTTGGGGGGGGAGGGAACTAGATAAATGGATTTTAAAAATTCATATGGAAGAATTATGTTGCCAAATAACATATATTTGGGGGGAGGGGAGGGAAAGGAGACTTGCCTGAAGATACAAAGACTTAAAAGCTTACAGTAATTAAGGGCTAGGATATAGTAGGCCACAGCAACACAACACTCCTGCTGCAGCCTACCAGGGGAAAAAGTGATTTAAAACAAAATAATATTTTTAAACACCAGGAAACTAGAAGCAGTAAAGACTAACTGAACTGGAATTTCAGAGGAGGAAGTCATATGAGGCAAACTGCCTGGCCATTTTCTTCCCTGGAGGCATTTGCTGATTCTGGGCCTGGAACTGAGGTTTGGGTTTGGGCCATGCAGAGGACCTCTACTGGAGAAAGGAAAACCACAAGTTCTTTGGTTATAGGGCACACTGGAAACCTGAGACACCCCAAATACATGACTGGTTTTCTTACAGGACATTTGCTGAACTCCAGAGCTGTACATGACATGCTAGAAACTAAGCCAAGGGCTTCAGAAAGGCAGAGTGAAATCTCCCGCAATCACAATATTTAGGAGACAAAATTTCAGGAGAGGGAGGGGCTTCCCCAAACAGCAGCCTTGGGGTTGCTTGGCACAGGATGAGAGTGGGAATTGACTGCAAACAGGCATGAGGGGTCTTTTGGGGATGACGGAACTGTTCTAAATATGGATTGTAGATAAGGGTCTAGTATCATACAGAGTTCTTACAACTCAATAATAAAAAGCCACCCCAATTTAAAAATGAGCAGGGATTTGGATAGTTCTCCAAAGAAGGTATACAAATGACTAATAAACACCAAAGAAGCTTATCATTACTGGTCGTCATGGAAATGTCAGAACCACACACACACACACACAAAGACACCCTCTAGGATGGCTGTAACCAAGAAGACCAATTACAAGCGTTGGCAATGAATGTGGAGAAATTAGAACTCATGTTGCTGGTGGGAATGTAAAATGGTGCAGCTGATTGGGAAAACAGTTTGGCAGTTCCTCAAAAAGTTAAAACATCCAGCAATTCCTCTCCTAGGTTTATATCCAGGAGAATTAAAAACTTACATCCATACATCTCGTACATGGATGCTCGTGGCATCATTTGTAATAGCCAAAAATGTGGAAACAGCCCAAATATCCATTAACTCATGAATGGGTAAACAAAGTGATATATCCAAAAAATGGAATTCAGCCAAAAAAAGTAGATAGAAGCTATAATGTGAATGGACCTTGAGAACATTCTGCTCAGTGAAAGGGGCCAGACACAAAAGGGCACATATTGTATGATTCCATTTATGTGAAATGTCCAGAAGAGGCAAGTATATAGAGAGAAACAGTACAGTGGTGGCTGCCAGGAGCTGGGGGAGGGAAGAATGGGGAGTGACTGCTTAGCAGTGAGGATGGGCTTGCTTTTTGGAGTGGTGGACATGTTCTGGAATTAAACAACCATGGCTGCACAACTTTGTGAATATACTAAAAACTGCTAACGTGCATAGTTTGAAAGGGTGACCCGCATGGCATATATATTATATAAAAAAACAAACGTGCAAGGGGGCAATTCTGCCCTGCTGAAGTTTTGGATAAATCAGTGTATTGACAGGTTGATTGGCACAGTTAGTGATGTGTTTGAGTTAAAGTTCAAATTAAGTGTCACCCAAAATATATTCTTAAAAGGGAAAAAGCAAAAAAAGAATTGTGCTAATGGTTGTTTAACACTATACACTTACTAAAAATAATTTCGTTTTGTTCACCTAAAATGGGCAAATTCTTTGCAGTTTGTAAATTATATATCAATAAAGCTTTCTTTTTAGAAAGAGCTTAAAAGCACAAGTCTGAAATGAAGAGTTCATTGTATGGGTTTAAGGAATGGACCCAGCAGAAGACGGTGAGTGCTTGAAGACAGGTCAACTGAAAAAATCCAAACTGAGGTGAAGATAGTAAAAAGATTGCAAGAAACAACAACACATACTACAAGAAAAGAGCGGAATAAACACATGGAACACAGTCTTAAGATATGTGTAATTGAAGTCCCGGGCAGAAAGGAATTGGGGCAGAAGTGATAATTGATGAAATAGTGGCTGAGATTTTTCCAGAACTGTTGACATATCAACCCACAAATTGAAAAAAGCAAAGTCCATATGGAATAAAAACAAACCTGACAATATCATAGTGAAATTGCTGAAAACCAGAGAAAATTCTAAAGACAGCCAGAGAGAAAGGCCTCATAACTTTTGTAGTAACAATAGAACCAATGTCTGGCTTTTCGGTAGAAACGTTGGGAGCCAGAAAACGGGAATCTTCAAAGTGCTGAAAAAAAATCTGTCGACCTAGGATTCCATACTTAAGTGAAAACATTCTCAAAAATGAAGGCAAAATAAAGGCATTTTCAGACAGACAAAAGCTGTGAGAATTTGGCCCCAGCAGGCCTGTGCTACAAAAAATACTAAAGGAAGTATTTTAGCCCAAAGGAAAGTGACCCGGATGGAAGTATAGAACTGGAAGGAAGAATGAACACTGGAAAGGGTAAGTATGTAGATAGGCAAATATGAAAGAATATTGGCTATTTAAACAACAATAATGTCTTGAAGACATACATTGTTACAAAATATATAATGTGGAATGCATGACACTGGTGGAAGGGTGGGAGGAAGGCACGCGGAGCTAAGTACTTGTGTGATCCTTACATTATTTGGCAAGTAAAAGTACTGATTTAAGAAAACTATAGGAAATCATAAGTATTGTAATTCTAGGATAACTACTAAGATAATTATAAGACTACATAATTAAAAATCTAAGATTTCGGGGGAAATGGAATTTAAAAAAATATCTAATGACTCCAAAAGAAAGCAGGGCAAGCGGACTAGGTGAACTAAGGATAGGGCAAATTGGAGAAAAAACAAAAGGTTCGATATAAACCCCACACCATTAGTAATTATATAAGTGTAAGTGCACTAAACAATTCTACGACAAGTCAGAGTGTCAAACTGGATTAAAAAAAAAAAAAAGCTAAACCCAGCATATGACATCCACAAGAAACAAACTTTATAAGGACGCAGAAAGGTTGAAGTAAAGGATGGCATAGGCTATTCATTGACGGTAAACGAAAGAAAGATGTTAAGTGTTTATCATCCAAAGCAGGCTTCGAGGCAAGAAGTATTCCTAGAGAGGGACATTATATAGTACATTCATAAAGTCCTTTTATAATGATGAAAGCTTTGTTCACTAGGAAGGCAATAGCCCTAAATTTATATGCATCTAGTTAACACAGTCTTGAACACATACAGCAAAAGTTAGGCTAAGAGGGGATTTAGACAAATACATCATCATAATTGGATATTTGAACACAGCTCTCAGTAACTGATCCACCAAGCAGGACCCCGCCCCCCCCCCAGCGGGGAATAGCAGATTTGAAAAACGCAGTTAACCAATTTAACTTGACATTGGAACACTGTATCCAACAACTGCAGAACGCACATACTTTTCAAGTGCTCACGGAACTGTTAGCAAGCAGACCATATGCAGGCCCATAAAGCATTCATCAACAGATTTCAAAGGAATGAAATCATACAAAGCATGTTCTCTGAGCACAGTGGAATTAAACTAGAAAGATATGATTGAAAGCAAGAAAATCCCCAGAATAAGGAACCGGTTATAGCAAATGCAACAAGCCCACAACCTAAACTGAAATTGAAACATTTTAATTTAACAAACGTGCAAAAGCCAGAAACTATTCTAAGCACTCGACGCATAACTCGGTCTCTTAACAATCCTGAGATAGAGACTATGCTTCCCACTTCAGGGATCAGGAAACTGAGGCATGGGAGGGTAAGAACTTGCTTGTGGTCACACAGCTAGTAGCAGAGGCAAGATCAGAGCCCTGCAGCAGTGCAGAGCCTGCACTGCGATCCTTAGAAGTCCGGCTGCTTTTCTCATTAGGGTGGACCTGCTCTCTGACCCCCGACTGACCGCCGCGGGGACTGGACTGCCAGGCAAGCAGAGCTGCAGCGGGAGCAAACACATCCTTGTGTTTGTCCTCTGGGGCAGGTTATCCT